GGGGGAATGACAGGGAACGGGGGGGAGAGTAGGGTGAAGCGATCAATCACGTCTCGATTTATTTCCGTCGCGTTGCGACGCCGTCTCCTGGCCGGCCCTCTGTTTCCCTGCATTCGTAATTGCGAAATGATTGTCGCGCTTGTCGCTCTCCTCGCCGATAATCTCGTCGTCCGTTTCTCCTACGAATCATTACGTCCTCTCAAATGGTGGCCGGCGCACCACGCAGCTATTTCATCGATGCGACTCTCGCGCACTGCTAATCCAATCACGTCTCTGTTATCCAAACGAAATAACGCGTATCTTCAATTACATTAGTATTTTTTATTATCTCATTTTAAATTTTTATTTGATTTTATATCATTGATATTATTCATTTCAATTAAGAATATTTCCATTTCACAATTGAGTAATTTATTGTTATGAGAAATCATCTTTTTGAGAACAAATTTTTTTATTATCTTCAATTATAAAATTTATTCCTATTTCACTTTTTTGTCATTTTTCAAAATTTTTGAAATAATATATTTTTATTATTAATCTTCCGGGTTTTTTCGGACTGCTAGGAGGAAGGAAGCGATTCGTTTCGATCCTCTCGTGGGTTAACACTTTTCTCCCTCTTGGAATAGATCTGCCGTCGCGATACTCTCAAAATCGCGGTTATCGACAACTTGATCAATTCGTGAACAAAAACACGGCAGCGTGGAATAATTGCCCGTGGAGAGACAAAGGCAAACGGCAAGGAAAACACGAGCGCATAAAGTTGACAAACGCAATTTCCACGACACCCCATCTGCCGTTTAGCAATTTAATTCTTACGATAAGGGAGACGCGAGATAGGGTGAAACAAGGAAACACGGCCACGCGAGTCATGAGATATCAAAGGGACTCACGAGAGACTTTAATTGCGAAATCGAGATCGAAATCGAAATCGAAATCGAAATCGAACGGAGCGAGGGAAGCGGAGGAGGAGGAGGAGGAGGAGGAGGCTCTTTCAACGCGGCAGTGTTGAAACGTCTTCGCCCGGAGCGACGTTCGATTCGCCTCTATTATCCGGCGGCGGGGACGACTGCCGATTTCGCCCGCGCTGTAAGCCAAGAATTCAACAAGCCGATCGAGACGAATCGATTTCCGATCGGATGTCGCGCGAGCCTTCGGCCGCGACCCGATTGAGATTGCCTCGACCGCCGGCTGCATTGTTTCTCGATCGAACGCATTGTTTTCTATGTCGCAAGCTCGTCGACATCAATCATTGTCTCCGCCACCGACAATTGAACCTTGCCTATCTGTATAGATACAGGCACCACCCACCTTTTCGTGCCCCCTCTCTCTTTCACCCTCCGTATAAAATATAGAATACGCGTTAGAAAGTTCTTACCTGGATTTTACACGTCTAGTTTGAGCGAATTCGAGAGAGTGGGAAGCTGAAAATCATACGTGTAGTTTAGGAGATGATCGCCTCCTTGAACTTGAGGGCCGTGAATTTTTAGAAAAAAATCCCAAAGACCTACGAAGAATGGTAGATGTCTACGCGCGTCTGAGAATCCGCAATTACAACGCAACAATCATGCCGAGAGGCAAAATCGAGAGAAAAAAAGAGAAAGTTTGGCGAAAAGGAATCCCTGTCTCGTCCATTAATCCCCCGTTTATCCCTCGCTACTTCTCAGCTAAAAGAAAGCGAAGCCTCCGAGTATCTGCAGATCTTGATGTATCAAAGTGTCGGTTGGTAACGTCGTTAAGGAAACGTGTGGCTCCATACGTCGATTCGGATCGTCGCTTCGCCTCGGCTGCAAAAGAAAGGATCTCCAACGAGGATTGGAGATACGCGGTAAATCCTTACCTCGCCGGAAGCCACCGCCTCGCCAGGTATGAACAGCTCCGGATAAACGTTATCGAGGTACCACTTGAACGACTTGCAACCGAGCTTCTTCCTCAGGGCCTTCCGTTCCGATACGTCCCCGTACTTGCCCTGCGAAAATTGCGAATCATAAGCCCGGAAATTTTGCCTAGAACGTACGAACGAACGAAGAGAACACAAGCGTGTCGGCGGAAATGGTCGTTTCCGGAAAGATTCCAAGAGAGGGGGAGGATGAGGATTATAATCGTAAAGAATAAAGAGGGGGAGAGAGAGAGAGAGAGAGGGAGGGAGAAGCGAAACAAGCGAGAAAGAAATAAAAACCAAGCGGGAAGAAATACACGGAATCCTTTATGGACTCGAGTTTTAAAGCCTCCTAGAGCGGAATAATGGTAATACTTGGCCAGGGGACGATTCACGATGCTCGTGCAACGACTCTATTGGACCACGGATGGTCACTTAGATAGACGTTTATCGAGGATTTTCATCCCTTGGTTTTGCTTGCATTCAAGTTCTATTTCGTGGAATTTCAGAGATACAGACAGTGGATGGGTTCAGAAATCGTCGACTTACTCTACTCGCAGTACCGATTGTGTAACAGAGAAATTGTGTATGCTGTTTCATTGATGTATAAATTCATACGCGATACGTGATATGTAAAATTGTTGTCGATTAAGCAACGATTTCTAAAAACAATTTTAAACGTTTCGTTGAACGTTTCGTCGAAACTTCGAAGCAAGTATTTCAACTCGATACTATCCAATATGTTTTGTTTCCTACAAAGCGTCGGGGAGGGAAAAGTGTATTCCAAATAGAAAATGGAAAATTCAAGCACGTATTGCGGCAAACCGGTGCTCGACTGATAAAACGTTTTCGATAGCTGTAAAACAATTTTCAGCAATGC